TCATTAATAGTTCTTAACATTTTTTTAAGAACTTCCGATTAATATATCCTATTGAAATTCATACACCTTATAAATAATTGTATTCCCAACACATATTTCAAATTTCAATGGTGTAGGTCATTTGTGGCAACCTGTGGCACTCGTTTTATGAATACTTCTTAGGTTCATTTTTAAGAACTTCCGGTTAAGATACCCTATTGACATTGATACACATTATAAATGTTTGGACTCATAACACATATTTCAAATTTCAATACTGTATGTCATTTGTGGCAACCTGTGGCACTCGTTTTATTAATAGTTCTTAGGTTCGTTTTTAAGAACTTCCGGTTAAGATACCCTATTGACATTGATACACATTATAAATGTTTGGACTCATAACACATATTTCAAATTTCAATACCGTAACTTAGGTCATTTGTGGCAACCTGTGGCACTCGTTTTATGAATACTTCTTAGGTTCGTTTTTAAGAACTTCCGGTTACGATACCCTATTGAAATTCATACACATTTTATATATTTGTACTCTAACACTTATTTCAAATTTTAATACCGTAGGTAATTTGTGGCAACCTGTGACACTCTTTTTATGAATAGTTCTTAGGTTCGTTTTTAAGAACTTCCGGTTAAGATACACTTTTCAGACTTATACAGTAGATAAATAAGTACTGTACTCTCCTAACACAGGTTTTGAATTTCAATACTGTAAGGCGTGTTTGTGGCAACCTGTGGCACTCTTTTTATGAATAGTTCTTAGGTGCGTTTTTAAGAACTTCCGGTTAATGTACACTGTTCAAATTCATGTAGAAGATAAATATACGTACCCCCCTAACACATGTTTTAAATTTCAATACTGTAAGTGGTTTGTGGCAGTCTGTGGCACTCTTTTTATGAGTAGTTCTTAGGTGCGTTTTTAAGAACTTCCGGTTAAGATACAATGTTCAGATTTTTATAGAAGATAAATATTTTCTCTCCCAACACATATTTTAAATTTCAATACTGTAGGTCGTTTGTGGCAACCTGTGGCACTCTTTTTATAAATAATCTTAAATTCATTTTTAAGAACTTCTGGTTAATATATAGTATTGATATGCCTATACAGAAGATCAATATCTCCACCCATTACACATATTTCAAATTTCAATAGTGTACGTCGTTTGTGGCACTTTGTGGCATCGTTTATGTGTCTTATGGAGTAATACCATTGTCAGTCAGTCTGTCAGCGTTTTAGGCAGTCCTTTGTTGACATTGTCTTAATTTGTGTGACTTTAGTTATATAGTTGTTGGACGTGAACAGGTACACGATACACGTAAATAAGATTTTAAAATGCAATTAATTTTAAAAGAGATGGAAGCTTGTGCAACACACATATAACAGATTTAAATTGTTATACGCCAAGGAAATTTCGGGCTATGTAAGGTCAAAGGAAGAGTTTGACCAATTAGGTATGTTTGTCTGGCATCAAATGGATTTGCTTTTTCCACGAGAAGTACAGGTAGAAATATGTTATTACCTTCGTGGCTATTACCTAATAAATCCATTCATGTTATTGTCTCCTTGATTTGATAATTGACTACAATTAAATAGATTTAGATTATTGACCTCTAAGCCTTGAAAGTACTGATCAGAAGATTCTGAAGAGTGGCGGTAAGGTAATTGTACCTAGTAAGGTTAACGTAGTGACTTGATGAAGTTTGAAAACATTTTTAGGATTATCAGTAAGATTTAATCGGTTTCATAAGAACATTAAAGATATGAAAGCTTAAGTCGCTTCCTAAGATGCTGGTTAGTTGCAATTTTTTGCAGTTGTCAGAGCGATTGAATCGATAGGTAGCCTAGTCTGTAGAGAACCTAACTTATAGGCCTAACTTACTATCAGATGAAATTTCAGTTTGATATTTCTATTGTAGGCCTATCAGTAGAGGTTTTCACTTGATATAACTTGAATAACTTATTTATTTAAGTTACTTATGCTTCTCAAAAAGACTCGTTAACACGTGCTCTGGCGGTTAACTTGGGTACTTTGGTATTAACCGGAGGCCACCCTTACACAGCGCAGTTATGTTAGGTTGGGTTTTCACAAATATGTTTGTTTGCAGAACTTGTCTCAATTCTTTATGAATCTTACAATACCAGATGAGTCATAAATTACTTTTGCACGCCATATCCCCTCAAGTACTCAGGTCATTGTCCATTGCATGCATCACCTGTTACCACCAGTATCTGGGGTATTTGGCGGGCGAAAGTATGACTCATTTGGTATAGTTCAATTCATAACGAAACGAGGAAAGTTTTATGAACATATTTATGATAATCCAACCTAACATGACCACCGCAGCGTGCTGCATACCTACTTGGCGGAGTATAGCGGCAGCGACGCATTCAACTCAATCCTCGCAGACATCGCTGCCTTTTTTCTGGGAGACAGAACTCAAAGGCCGCTAATTGTAATCATGTCAAATTTGGACAGTCAGTCAATTAAAGCAGGGTTTTCCTATTACAGTATGTAGTTATTTTTGGACTCTCCAGTAAAAAATCCCTCTAAAATAATTGGCCTCCGGATAATACCAAAGCACCCTAACATTTCGCTTTGGCTTAGTTTAAGTTACCGGTACGGTAGTTTAAGATAATTACAAACAAGGCCTACTGTATGTAAATTGTATACACACAAGAGTTGATAAGTAGGCTATATCTAGTAATTGTTTTTAAACAAATAAATTTACACTTGTACCTCAATTTGTAATCGTATCCTTTTCTTGTAAGTTTTGTTAGCTACTTAACCTAAGTTAAGTTAATTTTAAAGCTACAGCACACTGTTATAGATTGGTGGGCGATAACATTGACTAAGTTATATATAGGGCCTACCTACTATATACAAGTTACCTGTAGGTATATATATAGTCAATGGCGATAATCTAACTTACTTGAGAATCCTCATAAGTTAACATAAAATCAATATTGAAATTCAATAACTTATAGGCCTACATAACTTAATAGGCTATTGATTAAACTTACTATATTTTAAGTTTATTTGATAGTTTAGACTATATTATGTAATAAGTTATTCCATTATGTAATACCGTAAGTAACTTAATAAGTTATTCCATCGATAGTCTCTTAGCTATTCTCTTTGGAATTGTAGATTGATGTTTTAAAATTGATTGACTATAAGCTGTTTAATGTTTTTGCAGGTTCATACCCTAATCAACCGACTCTAGGCCTAGCCAGATTTCAAGTTTGCGTACCTCTAACCAACATTCGTAAAATGCATTGTGCATTGAGTGTGGTCACAGATCTCTCTATTACGTAATAAATAAATCCAGCAGTGAACAGGTAAGACATTTATTTGTTTAAATTGTTTATTTATAGTAGTAACATTTTCTATACAGCCTCTGATCCCATGTAGGGTTGTCATATTAGTTGTGGTTCTAGATTAGAACGTTGTGAAGGGCTAACAGGGGTGATTATCATTAGGAGGGGGTTTCAGGGGATCTCCTTAGGAAAATCTGCTATTTTTAAAACTGTTTTTACGTTTAGAACTGTGTTCCAAAACCTCTGTCACCTATTTATGACAAAAATTTATGTTTAAACTTATATTTCCAGACTCAGATTCTAATGTGGAGGGCTCTTGCTCCTACAGCCCTCCACCCCTTGGAACCGCCCACTGCAATATAGCATTTTAATGTGGGAAATAATTTAGAGAATTAATTTAGTTGGAAGATAAAATAACGGGACAGCAAAATTGGTAGAATAGGCATATAAGCTGTTGAGTCGTAGAGAATTTTAAATCTTAAAAATTCTATTCTCAAAATGTATTAATTTAATTTTACCCAAAGGCAATCGGAGAGCATGAAATAAAAACTCTGCTTCTCAGTTCACACACTTTTTAATATCAGGTTTTAAAATTGGATATATTGAATTATGACAAGAACTGTTATATTAGATTAGAATATTAAATGAAATCTTCCGGAAGGTTAAAACTTTTAAATCCTAAAAATCTGATAGAAATATTGTAAGAGTATTTTGAATAATTGCTAAATAAATTAAGTTAAAAATTATTTTCTACTTGCGGAGTCTTTCTTGAGAAGTCCAGGTTGTGGTGAGTTTCAAGTGAGGTCGTGACGTGGGTAGCGAAGCGGTTGTAAGAGGGTTGGAGCTGGCGATGTCGTCTGGGAAGGTTGCAGAGGGTTGGCCTCAAAGGAGTAGCTAGGAGAGTAGAGGTTTGACGTAGAGAGACTCTGCTAGTGGTCCAGTGATGCCCGTAGAGGAGAGGGATGACTTGAGCTTAAAAGTGGCGTGCAGGTTGACGACAGGAGAGAATTACCAGTCCATTCACTTGTAGAGGTTTCATCCAAATATTAATACTGAAGATTTACTTCATTCACTTCACATCACTGTCACTGATACACTGAACTGTACTATTATGTTCTAACATTGGTTATAATTAAAAGAGAGAATTTAGACTACATTTTGAATCTATAACTACAATATATTTGAGGACATGTTAACTAGAAGGCAGTAGTGTGTAGACTGAGACAGAGCAAAAAGTGAAAGCATGAAACAAGAACAATACTGTCTGGCAGATAAGGAAAACGAATATAGATAAAACCAACAATAATGGAATGCATTGGAAATACCAATGCCCAGCCAGTCCATTCATTACTTTTATCAGTAGTTTATTCTGATATTATATTAAAAACTCTACATACCGCCCACCCAAATAAATATTTGCAAACGTAAAAACAAAAAATCAAACAAAACAAAAAAGGAAAGGGTAGTTTATGAGTCAAAGTCAGAGGGAGGGAAAGGAACCAGCTTGTGAACTGGGCGCACAAACGTCCCTTGTGCGGTTTTGATCTTGACTGCTCTTACTATTCCGTCACGTCCAGGGAAAGTTTCTTCTATTCGCCCGATTGGCCATTCAAGTGGGCTGGTGTTCTTCATTTGGAGGTATGCTACATCACCAACTTTGACATTGGGTTGAAGGGAAGTCCATTTTCTACGAGGAATCAGGGTTTGAACGTATTCCTGTGACCATCTCTTCCAAAAAACACTGAACAGCCTGTTGTAGAAGTTCATATCTTTGTAGTCTGTTCATGGGTGTGTCACTGCTGTCAATTTCAGGTGGAGCTAAGAGTGGCGATCCAATAATAAAGTGACCTGGGCTCAAATAGTCGCCATCGTTAGGGTCTGTGATCATCGTTCCGATTGGTCTACTATTGAGAATAGCCTCTATGCGTGTCAACAAAGTGTTCATTTCTTCATAGGTGAGAACAAGTGTGCCCATTACTCGTTGCAAGTGATGTTTGGTGGATTTAACAGCGGCCTCCCATAGTCCACCAAAGTGAGGGGCTGCAGGTGGATTGAAGTTCCATTTGATTTCCTTTTTGGCTAGATGCTGTGATATCTCTGGATTGGATCTTTTTAAAAACTCCTGAATCTCTTTGAAATGATTTGAGGCACCTTGAAAGTTGGTACCACAGTCACTGAAAATCTGCTTACAAAGACCTCGTCTAGCACAGAATCTATCAAGAGCAGCAAGAAATGATTTTGTTGATAGACTTGTAGCAAATTCAAGATGGACGGCTTTTGTGGACATACAAATGAAGATTACCAAATAACCCTTTGATCGTGGAGCTTTTCTCCTATCACTTTCTTTGAATTCAAATGGACCTGCATAGTCAAGTCCTACATTGAGGAATACCCTGAGGTTTTGAAATCTTGCAGAAGGAAGATCAGCCATTTTGGGTGTCATGGGCTTTGCCTTGAACATGTAACATTTGTTACATTTGAATATTCTTTCTCGTAATAATTGGCGTAATCCACTTATCCAAAATTTTGATTGTATGAGAGATTGGGACAATCGAGGACCACCATGTAAAGATAGTTTATGATAGTGATCACATAACAGAGTTGCTAAGCGAGATGATGTTGGTATTAGGATAGGATGTTTTCTGGAGAATGAAAGTTGGGAGTATTTTAAACGTCCGCCCACCCTGAGATAACCTTCTTCATCGAGAAATGGAGCTAGAGATCGATACTTAGTGGTGCACATTTTCTGTTCCTTTATGTTTTGTATTTCACCTGAGAGATATTGTTCTTGAACATTTTTGACACATAACATTAATGAGTCGTTTAGTTCTTGAGCGGTTATTGGCCCTTGCCTTTTGCTTATTCCTTTCTTTTGACTTTGAAGATTAAAGATAAATCGTAACAAGTAGGCAAGAACGAACTGCACTTTTGACAAGCTAGAGAATTTTTCCATAAGTTTCATTACTATGTTGTTATCGAGACTAGTTGTTAGGAAACATTCTGATTTCAATTCGGGGAGATGAATTTCTTCTGTAGGTTTTACATTTGATGATGGCCATAGGGTTGAGGGTTCATGAAGGAAGGAAGGACCTTTCCACCACAAATCAAAATCAACTATATCTTCAGGAAGCATGCCTCTGCTGGCACAATCACAGGGGTTTTCTTTCGAAGCTACATGACGCCATTGTGTTGGGTTAGTCTCTTCTAAAATGTCAATTACTCTGTTGGCAACAAAAGTTTTCAATTTGTACGGAGGGGTTTTGAGCCATGACAACACAGTAGATGAATCCGAAAACAGTATGATTGTTGATGGGTCAAAATTGAGATGTTTTACTGAAATTACTATTTGCATAAGTAACTGAGCCGCAGAAAGTTCTAGTCGGGGAATACTCATTGTTTTTAATGGTGCAACTTTACTTTTGGCTTTTATGAGGTGTACTCTGATTCCAGCTGAGTTTTCAGTACGGATGTACAAGTTAGCAGCGTAACCCTTTTCAGAAGCGTCACAGAAGCCTATAAGTTGTGTGGAATTTGAGGATGCTGTGGGAATGAATCGTTGGATCTTAATATTTGAAAGTTGTGGGAGAGTAGAAATGAACAGAGACCATTTACTACTTATTTCATTTGGAAGAGGTTCATCCCAGTTCAAACCAAGAAGCCATAACTTTTGCATCAGATGCTTAACATAGAATGTAACTGGAGTGATCCAACCTAGCACATCGTATATTTTTGATATTTCAGATAGCATTGATCGTTTTGTGAAAACTAGAGGGTTGAGCTTAATCGAGTATGAAAAACTTTTTATCAGTAAAGTTAAAAACTTTACTTTTATCAGTAGTTTATTTTGATATTATATTAAAAACTCTACATAAGCTTTAACCAATTTCATGCAAATATATTTGATTAAGGTAATGTGATCATAAATAAAAGCATCTGCGGCACTATTTAAAATTAAAATTAGGCTTAGGCCTAATACAGATAAACCATTTCTATTGCTATAATAAACCTGCATTAGTCTTGATTTTAAAATAGGTATGGGTTATGTTTTTTGTAAGCCATAAGCTGTCGTTGTTCATAAAAAAATTAAGTTGAAACTGTTAATTACTGAGAAAACCATGATTTGAGGTAGAAATAAATCTGGTCAAAAGGGACATTTTAATTAAATTATGTTAATTTATAAAACTGCTATGTAACTCGTACTTAAATACAAGTGAATAAAATGTTGTGGTTGTTCAATGAATTTTAGCATTAGTTTGTCTGCAAATGTTAATTTCTCGAGAACATGCTTCATTCAACCCAAATAGACACGTTAAAGTTTTAACATTGCATTCTATAGCCAAGGAGAATTTATTGTTCATTCTTCCTACACGAGTCTCCTTATTTAAATAACATGTAAAGTTTCTCTGATCTAGAAGACTGAAGAAGGAACATCACAGGGGCTGTTACTTAGACCTTTCTACAGCATTGATGAATATTTGTCTTGGCAGCAACACAGAGTGACTACGTTACAAGTTAAATCATCTTTCTACTGCAAGAACTCCAATCAAAAAAGATTTTTAATCGATAACATATTGTATTGATGCCTTTTTCAATCTTAAAAATTGTAAAATAAAGTACTCTTGTATTGTTGTATTGCATTCTTGTGTTCTTGTCTTCTCTGTAGAGGTTATAGAGAAACTTAGTGTAAATAAATGAACATAAATGATAGAAAAACAATTTTATATAATAATAAAAACTAAATAATTAATTGAGAGCCCTCTCGATTGGGATTTAACCCTATTGATATTTGACTTCTTCTATCAAAACAAATACTAAAATACTCTCTTATCTTTTTGTGTTAACTATATCTAATTTAAATTATTTACAAAAACATCTTAATTATATATTTTATTTATCTTTTATATATATTCTATTATAAATTGCCACACAGTCAAGTATAAAGTTGAAGCTTGATTATAAAGTGCACTAATCATTGTAGGCCTATCAGTCAACAAAACTTAAATGGTTCACACCAAGTGGGAATATAATTATTTGAAATAAGTCTTTCCTTCAATTAAATCTTTAAAAAATATTTAATTGCCATGTAAGCTCGGTAGGTACTGAAAAGTGTAGTATACTCATCACCCATTTCAATCAATGTAAGATTTTTTTTCTTGTTTTAAAATATGTGTGTTTGCTGATATAGCATTATAAGATGCAGGGAAGGTAAAATGTACTTAGGTTGCTATTGAATTGTACAAAAAATTAAAATTAAAGTCAGATATCCATAAACAAGCCAAAATACAAGCAACAAGTTTACCTAATATTCTACTTCAAAATAACAAATTATTTTCATGTTTCTTTTCAACTTACTGGTAACCATTTAGCTATCTGTAATATAGGTTGATAATTTTTTTTTACATCTAATGAATTATTTACAAAGATGTTTGAAGTTTTTATAAGGTCAAACATGAGGAAACCCCATTTATACCTCTGCTCCGATCATGCTGGTACGCTACAACAAAGGTTTGTAACAAATTTCATCATAATTGGATTATTTTGACTTTGAATTATATGTGTATAGGCAGACTAAATTAAAGAAGTACAAGTCTAAGGGAGTATGTTTTATCTATGTATAGGCTATAATTTACAGTAGAACCTTGATAACAAGACTCTTATAAGGATTATAAAACAAGTCTTGTTATCAAGGTTGACTTCTTATCGAGGTTTGCAATAACAAATGATTAGGGGTAAAATAATTTCAAGGGGATTTGAAAATATTCCTTGTTATCAAGGTCAACTTGTTGTCGAGGTTCTACTGTATATGAATTGAACAGATGGTGCTAAAGGCTTTTTATTTGAGCTGCAACTGTTATAGCAATTACAATTTTTTTTCTCAATTTTATTTACAATCTGTTCATTTTTAGAACATTTAGCAAATACAATAACAACTTTTAATAAAACGTTAGTTAATCTCTGTCCATTGACAGAGCTAACTTAAAAATATTTCAATGATAAAATAAATATGTAAATAAACAAGGGAAAATTAAATTGTTCAAACAAAACGTGTGCTTAGATCCAAAACATGAATCCTTTTTAGCCTGTATATACTGGTACTGTTGTCCAAGAGGTTTAGAGCCAGGTGATTAGGGTGATTTTCAAGTTTCTTTAGATATTTTGCACTAAATTTGGTTATTTCGTCTTCAACCGTAGGAATTCCACTGTCCTTGTGAAGGATATTGTTATTAATATACCACGGGGCTTGCAGAATGAACCTTAAAACTTTTGACTGAAATCGTTGGATGATGTTTATGTTCGACATACTGGATGTTCACCACAGTTGGATTCCATAAGTCCAAATTGGCTTCAGGATTACTTTGTATAGTAATAATTTGTTTGCAATGGTCAATTTTGATTTACTATTTAGGAGCCAGGAAAGATTTTTAAATTTTGAATTTAGGTACATTCTTTTATTCCAGGTATGGTTTTTCCAAGTTAATCTTTTGTCAATCGTCATGCCGAGGTATTTCACTTCTTGGGATTGCGGAATTTGGATATTATTTAAGGTTACAGGAGGACAAGTACCTAATCTGGTAGTGAAGGTCACATGAGTAGATTTGCTCTCATTCACTTTTATTTTCCATGTTTGCAACCATTCTTCTAAGTCATCTAGGGAATTTTGAAGATTAAGTGAAGCTACCACTGGATCAGGATGGGACGCTAAAATAGCTGTATCGTCAGCAAAAGTGGCCACAGAAGTATTCACATTTTCAGGTAGATCGGCTGTAAACAGCGTATATAGTACAGGTCCGAGAACACTTCCTTGGGTATGATTTAATTGTCATATAAAATGTATGAGGAAGATTCAGTTTGAGTTTATAAAGTAGGCCTGTGTGCCAAACTTTGTCAAAGGCTTGACTTACATAGATAAAGACAGCTGTACAACAGTTCTTTTTCTCAAGGTCTTCTTTAATTGTATTAACCAATCTATGTACTTGTTCAACTGTGGAATGCTCCCGTCGAAACCCAAACTGATGATTTGGAATCAAGTTTCTGTCCTCTACTTCTTCAAGTAGACGATTCAAGAAGAGCCTCTCAAACAATTTGGATGTTATTTAAAATTCAAACAAAAAATGGGGTTTGTATTATTTTGGTTAGAATTATTATTTACCTTATTAAACATTTGGTATGTTATTTTAATCGGATACACATTCTTCGGATACACTTCTTTTCATATTTTGAGGACCATAACAGACCAAATTTAATAAGAACCGGCTGTTTTTAAAAAATAAGATTTTTTGTTATATAATGGGAAAGTAATTGTAACTTTTACAGGTATGGGAGTTGTATCATTTTATTCATAATTTAAAACACTAGGTAACATACTAAATGTTTTATCTACTTAAAATCGTTCGGGCCGTTTTTGAGAAAATTGTATTTTTCCTGTATTCT